TAGGGATGGGAAAAGTACAGTGGACAATGCAGAGATTCATGTTGGACTTCTAAAGCCAGAGAAGTTAAATACTGCATACTATCAACAGAGAAACACATCGTGGTGCCCTTAAAGAAGTGAAGACTAGGAGTGGCCAAGTAAGGAACACCTTTGCATTACGTGAAGGAATAAAATTTATGCTTTTCGAAGTAAACAATGGTATTTGATTGGGCGCCCAGAAGGAACAGGGATTGAAACAGTCATCCAGATATACTGGAATGCAGAGAATTCAAGTTTCTAGAGTTCAATGTGGACAAAAACAGCGGTGTCTTCTTGCATAAAAGCCAGTTTTTACCATCTTCAAACTTAACAGAGTAACTTAGACTCTATTTTATAAATGAGAAAAGGAAAAAAAGCCAAGAAATCTCAATACATTCTAAGAAAATACACAAATTTAGCTTTGACTTGCATTCCAGAGCCATGAATGGCCTCATTTTCCAAGTCTATTAGAAGAAAGCACAATGTGGAGCATAATTTGATTTGGGTAAATCCAGACTCTTCAGGAATCAGGGCACTCATTGTATCACCTGGTTGAGTGTGCCTTACTGTTGATGTTGAAGTTACAAGTTCAATACACTTATGGGCAAGTTTCAGAGCTGTGCACAATAAAACAGTGTTCTAACACATGTAGACAATCACATCAAAATGAACTATGCTAGGACTTAATTGTGAGGCCAACTTGGCCAGAGGTGGGATAGACTGTACAACCATGGCTAGGTAGTATATACAATTGGTATCTTTCCCCCAATTCTTTCAACCACTCAATTTTTTCCAGCTCCTTGTATATGCCTAATACTTGTATCAGGGGAAATAAAAGCCTGTACTATGTAAGTACTTGATATTTCTTTATTGAAATAGCAAATGACTATTGCCACATTTTGTTGGATGAGTTAACAGGACAGCTTCATAGGTAAAAGTCAGCTAGATTTCCCACACAAGGCCCAAGAAACTCTGCAGGCAGGGAAATCTTGATCCAATTTCACTTGACTTGTTTTCCCGAATCTCTCAGAAAAAAACAAAACAAAACAAAACAAAAACTCAACAGAAAAAATAAAAAGCCATTTTAATTTTTACTTGTACCACAATAAGGTTATTTCCCAGTGATGAGATACTCTCTGCGTGAGCAAATCGTTTGTTTCCTCGAGTTCTCCTAAGCACAAAGTGGCCTTCATTTGATTGTTTCAACTCTAATTATAAACATAAGTACACATTGACATTAACATCTGCTCTCTGGGCCCCAGTGATTGAACTGTGTGACTTCTAGGGTGTCTTCTAGCGCTGGGAGAGGCCACTACCATATTATTTCACAATTCTCGTCAGAAATTGTTAACAGAAGATCAAAACTCACAGTTGTATTAACTCTAGACAAAAAAGAAATTTCCATGCATCAAGAAGTTGTGAAATAGAAGGTAGCTTTATACTATTAAAAAGTTATACGACAGCTACTGATTTACTCAGCACATTCGAAGGAAATTCTGTGCCCACTATTGGTGGAAGTTGTCATGCAATGTCAAAATGTAATCTCAATAGAATTTGTTTTAAAAGAGTAAATTTAAGTAGTTTAGGGTTATTTTCATACATGCTATAGTGGAATAAATGATAATCAGTTGAGTCCACTGAAGTAATATTAGAAAGTAGGTTACTTTGTTATCTCATTTACACAAGGGTATGCATTCAATTAAGTATGTTTTGGGGTTCTGTCTTAAGTAAATTGCTTATGGATCTCATCTAGTTTAAAGTCTATATTTAACAAATTAAATTATTTCATCCACATGCAGATTGCATGACAAAGATGTTGGAAGGTTAAGCTGCAAACATTTTGCTAATGTATTGCAAAAATTTACCTACAGCTATACATTTTCAGCTAGCCTCACTTTCCAATAATATATTTCAATTAGGTCTATCACATGATGTATTTGGTACTTTGTGGATGAACTGGAAAGATGTAGGTGAGGCTGAAAAACAGAAGAAAAAAATTTTTTTCAACCATGGCCTGAGAACTGTTAGAAACAGGATTTTGAAGGGCAGAGTATTCAGTATTCTAAAATAGGCAGTTCATTGTATTTAGGAAGTTTGTAACATATTATGGACAGGTTGGGTTCACTTGGGGGTCATGTATCAACTAATTCAATTATCATACCATGAACAAAGGCAGAATATTGAAAAAATCATTTTGAGTGGTATAAGACAGGTAAAGCAAAAGGTGATCGTTACAGTAATACCTAATAGAAGGTGTAGAAATAATGGTAGATGACCAGTTTTCTGAGTGAAAATGTCATTTCAAACAAATTTATTTCCTTGCTTCTTAAGAGCATTCTAAAAGCAGTGTCACTAGCATACAGTCACAATGCTGGAGAACATTGAATAAGCATGAGCTTTTAAAAAGAAAAAAAATCACAGGGCAGACAATGGGATGGTAAACTGTTAATTGAAACTTAAGAAGTAGAGTCCAACAAAGTAGGAATCACATGTGGTTCCCACCATGGGGTTATCAGTTGAGGCAGGACATTAATGGCGTTAATTATAATAATGGAATGGAAACATTTTAGTTGAGCAGGGATATTTTTATGCACTGGCTTTGGGCAACTGCAGCCAACTTCACAAATCTCAGTATTCCCTTAAGTAACACTGGCGCTTCAAGATCAGTTGCCAAGAAACTTACTCAAAGTTAGTGACACTGATTTGAACTGTGGCAGATATATTACAACTGACTCTTTTGTTTTTTTCAATTTTAAATAGATTCCGTGCCCAATGTGGGGCTCGAACTCACGACCCTGAGATTAAGATTCACGTGCTCTACCAACTGGGCCAGCCAGGCACCCCTACAATGGATTTTTTTTTGAAGGAAATTTGCTGTTTCTGTGAAAAACACTGATAAAAGCATCTTTAGAATTTCAATTCTTCACGTTTACTGTGTCATGGGTAGCAGTTCAAAGAAAAACAAAAGCTAATATTTAAATTCTGCAGACATTCAGTACGTGTTGAATGGAAGGAAGATGGGTGGATGGATAAAGGGTCTTAAAACTTGATTCATTAAATCTGGTGAGGAGATAATTTCTAGTGGAAGCTAAGGCCTAATATCTAAAACGAAATATCACAAGGGTGTATTCCTGATAGTCTAATACTAGTAAATATCTTATCAAAGCAGCTGAAATAATAAACAATCACTTATTTATATACTTATAAGAAACCTTAGGCTCACAAAAATATGTTTTAAAACGGAAATCTAAGGCACACAAAATACTAAAACAAGTCAATGAATCACCCTATTTTACATATTCAAGAAGCAGAAATCTACTTGTACAAGATGATGGTCTACCAATGGATATTTGTTATATACAATCCCTTCATATTCCTTTACTTGGATTAGTCAAAAGCTTGAAACTGATACTTTGCACCATATATTATTTTAATATAAGTTACAATGAGTTTTTCTTTAGAGCTTGCTGGAACTGTTTGCTTTTGCACCAAAATTGTTGAGTGTTAGCAGTTGTGGGCTTCCTATGGCATTTCCAAGGGAGAAGCACCATTATTTAGGTTTTCCACACTCCCAAGGTATCTGACACTTTGAATGTTATAGCACCTCTGCATTTTAATAGAATCAAGTATTTCACTGAAATTTCATGCTCTAAACATTTTGTTTGGGCAATACCTTTTGTTTTGCTATAAAATGAGCCAATAAGTAATGGGAAAAAATACGGGAGGGCTAACATAAATGAAATGCCTATTTTCCTGTTACCTAGAACACAGGCAATTACCAGAGAAGATGAGTATTTATTTCCCTAAAACTAATTCGCTTAGATAAACTACTCTGGATTAGTTCTTAATGGGCAAAACCGTATTTAGATTACCACTCCTACTGTTTGGGATGTGTGGATGTGTGACGACAATAGGGGATTTGTTTTCAAAAGATTTCTATGGCAATTTTATTCTAATTCTGTACCAGAATGACTTTCAGAACAAATAAGACAATTTGGGATGGGTAGGGTTCTTGCTACTTAATTTTTATATTTTATCACCTTGAAACGTTAGAAGCATTTGACTCTTCTGAATCCTACAATGTCCCATCTCCTTTTGCAAAAACCTTTCATGATGACATTGAGAAAGCTGGGGTGAAAGTAAAATCGGAGCCACTGTTGCTTGATAAATCAGAAGAGACCACTCTTACTTAGTTCCAAATAAAATGTTAATCGACATTGGTGATATGCTTCCTAATTCCGATTTTAGAGAAAATTAACAATTTTTGCATGTTCTAACTATTTTATATAAGTAGCTAATATCTGCATGAGAAAGGACACATTTTTAAAAAAAAAACAAATCATATACATGATTAGAATACATATTGCAGTTAACAAGATGGAACTCTACACAGCAAGAATAAATGATTTCTCTTGTATGCAAATATGCACAAACAATAGACAATAAGATTCTTATACTATACTATTTCAAGTTACTTTTAAAAATAGAAAGTGCTTTTAAAATATATATTTACAATTTATGAACAGCCTCCAACCATTATTAACAATAATGAATTATTTTATACAGGAGAGATATCTTGAGAGAGAAAACATTTCATTGGTTTATTTCAAAGGAATATGCCGATTTTCTAGCAATGATTGGAAGATGTTGGAACGATGGCACCATGAAATAATAATGCAGCTTATTTTTAACTGTTGATGTGGGTAAGCACCAGGAGCTGTGTAGAGTTAACACTGTGTCTTGATTTTACATCATAGCACATGAACCTGTTAAAATCCTCTAAAAATGACTCTTGTTTCATAGTAAACAGACTTAATTTAAAGCACCAAACTGAGTGATTCTATCAAGGTTAACACCTAACCAAAACATTTCTTTATGTATTTAAAACTATAAAACTTTTATTTTTGCTTAAAATGTGCACCTTCTACCAATTGTCAAAATATAGTCACAGTTAAGAAATACCCACCCTATTTTTGTTTTTGTTTTTTTTACCTCAGCCTTCAAATGGGTGAGATGAAGATAAGTAAACGACAACATGACTTTCTTTTAACAGCACCTTGAAAAAATACACTGCACTAGCAAAGGCATTAAGAAGGGGAGAAAAGCCTTCAGACCCAATGGTTATAGGGTCCTGCAACATGTGTGAGAGCATAAGGGGACACGGTGACAATATTGTCATGGGTTAATGTTAACGCTTTATGAGAAGGAATTTGGTTCAACTCATTAACTTCAGGGGACAGTTTGGGACCCTCATTAGCTGCCTGGTCTTTCTGCTCTGAGGCCTTAATTTTCTTATTCTTAGCTTCTTTAGCCTCAAACTTAATTTTGTTCAGTTCAAAACCATGTTGGGGCTTATTCAGGTTTTTGTGCTGGTAGAAAACAAGGGAGAGGCGTGTGGGGTGATTCCGGTTTGGGTGTTCGACAGGAGTGGTTGCATGAAGCTCTCGCCGGGCACACTCGATCAAAACGGAGCCATGGGCAGGCGCAATTGCCACCCCACCAATGTTGGCATCCAAGAAGATGTGCTCACTGTCTGACCAATATTCATCGATGTGGGGCAGTTTCTCCTCAGCGGGTGACAGGGGGTCGTCTGAGAGGGGGTCATCAGATAGAGGCTCATCTGCATCAGAATGCTGCTCATCTTCTTCCACCAGAGAGGAAGCCAGGTCATGAGGAGAGGTGGTGAATGGGAGTTGCTGGTTTGGATGATTAGAAGGTAGCTGTTCAGACGGACCAATGGGAGGCTCAGAATAAACCAGGGTATCTGTCATGGGAGTCGACAAGGTGGGAAGAGAAACCACGTCGCCAGGCTGTGCAATTCCAGTGCATTCCCCTGCAGCTGCATTAGCACCACTGTGTCTCGCAGAAGGCACTGTGCAGTGGGGATTGCTGTTTCTTTCTGAAAACCCGTACGGAACTGACGCATCATTCTTAAGAGGAGCTGTTGTGGCCGACGCAGTCTTAGGGGACCAGGAGAAACCTGGAGATATGTTTGCCTCTTTCAATGTGTGAGGAATGGATGGGGTCAATGAGTAGGTTTTAGTGTTGTCCGAACCTTTGAAGATAAAATGGGGTTCAGTTTCACTTTTTATTTCAAGTTGCAAGGCTTCAGTTTTATTCCCTAAACAGAGAAAAGGACACCAAATGCGAAGATAAGTACAAACTACTTTTGGGAGTTGTGTTTAAGGAGTATTTTAAAGAGAAATACAAAGGATAATGTAACAAAACATTGGTGATGGCAATGTTGGCCAGTTTCGTTCTATTGACTTTAAGTCAAACACACAAGCAGGCATTAAAAATTGCATGTTGTTTGGTATGCTTTTTCACCCAACAATTTTCCTTAAAGAATTCTTCCCTTTGCAAATAATATAAATAAGCACAAAGATTTAGCCAGAAGACTGTCCATTGTTTAAAATAGTAAGAGATTAGAAACGACCTAGTTGGCTATGAAGTAAATATTAAAATCATACATTGGAATACAATGCAGGTGATAAAATGATGATTTAGGGCAGTATTTCTACCCAAAGAGAAATACTTTTAAAAATACCATTTTAGGTATTGCTGATCTCATTTTCAAAAAAGTAAAAATAATAGTTATCAAGAAAACATCATGACTGGCAAACTCAAGTATTAGGCTAGGGGAAGTCACATAAGAAATTTTAGTTGAAATAAGTCATTTATGACCCTCAAGACCAAGTGCATTTAGGCTTTGTTTCTTTCTTTCTTTTTTTTTTTTTAAAGATTTTATTTATTTATTTGACAGAGAGAGATACAGCGAGAGAGGGAACACAAGCAGGGGGAGTGGGAGAGGGAGAAGCAGGCTTCCTGCCAAGCAGGGAGCCCGATGTGGGGCTCGATCCCAGGACCCGGGGATCATGATCTGAGCCGAAGCAGATGCTTCATGACTGAGCCACCCAGGCGCCCCTAAGCTTTGTTTCTTTCTCACTAATTAGGTAGATCTTTATTATCACATTGGCTATTATGGGTAATCTATTCTGACATAACCACACAAACTTCATAGCAAATGGAAACATTCTTCTTGATGGAAACATTTTTCCTGTTTTGAAGTTCTATAACAATTTTTGGGGTGCCTGGGTGGCGCAGTTGGTTAAGCAACTGCCTTCGGCTCAGGTCATGATCCTGGAGTCCCGAGATTGAGTCCCGCATCGGGCTCCCTGCTGAGCAGGGAGTCTGCTTCTCCCTCTGACCCTCCCTCCTCTCATGTATTCTCTCTATCTCATTCTCTCTCTCAAATAAATAAATAAAATATTAAAAAAAATTTTTTGGAAGTGCAAAAACAGCAGATTTTAGGACAAGAAATAGAAAAAGTGGCCATGTTTTAAAATAATTAACAATATAAGAGAAAACAATGATCTGATTCAAAATAACTGCATATATTGTACACCTGAAACTAATATAACACAACACAATCTGGAGACAGGGTAATTCTTTTTCTCTCTCTCCCTCTTTTTAAACATAGAAAGGTAAATAAAATTTTTAAAACAAATTTTTAAAAAAGACTTATTTATTTGACAGAGAGAGAGAGACACAGCGAGAGAAGGAACACAAGCGGGGGAGTGGAAGAGGGAGAAGCAGGCTTCCCGCTGAGCAGGGAGCCCGACGCGGGGCTTGATCCCAGGACCCTGGGATCACGACCTGGGCCGAAGGCAGACGCTTAACGACTGAGCCACCCAGGCGCCCCATGTAGATAAAATTTTTAAAAAATTAAATAAAATAAAACATGGAACACTTCATGATTTTGTAGGTCATCCTTGCGCAGGGGCCATGCTAATCTACTCTGTGTCGTTCCAATTTCAGTATATGTGCTGCCGAAGCCAGCACCATAACTCTCATTTTCATCTCGCTTTTCCTTTTTTTTTCTTTTAAAGTAATCTCTACACCCAATGAGGGGCTGAAACTTTCAACCCTGAGATGAAAAGTCTCATGTTCCATTGACTGAGCCAGCCAGGCGTCCCAGTTCTCTCTCTTTTTTTAGGGGGATGGAGAGAGGGGCAAAGGGAGAAACAATCTTAAGTAGGCTCCAGGCCAAGTGCAGAACCGATGCAGGGCTCGATCTCACAACGCTGAGATCATGACCTGAGCCAAAATTAAGAGTCAGAACCTTAACCGACTGCACCACCCAGGCACCCTGCCAATTCTCATTTTTAAAGAGAACTTGTACACGGAACCCAAGGGGTGGCACATTAAGAAATCTGTGGTTGCATCTATTATAGAGGTTGTCAACAGAATATAAATCATGGGGAGGAAAGATTATAAAGAGTAATGAGTCTTGGGGGGTTGGGAGTAGAAGAAGGAGAAAAAAAAAAGGAAGCACTCTTTTACTGAAATGGATAAATCTATATAAAAAAGTTCTTATGGTGGCACCTGGGTGGCTAAGTCGGTTAAGCGTCTGTCGTCAGCTCAGGTTATGATCCCAGGGTCCTGAGATCAAGCCCCACATCGGGCTCCCTGCTCAACAGGGAACTGCTTCTCCCTCTCCCTGCTGCTCGTGCTCTCTCTTGCTATCTCTCTCAAATAAATAAAAAAAATAAAATCTTAAAAAAAAGAAAAGATAAAAAATAAAAACGTTCTTATGGGTAAGATTACAAAAGGACAAGGAGTTATAAGCCAAATATTGTGGAGAGGGCTACTAACAGGATATATATTACTAAAATCATAGCTTGTGAAGATGGTATTAGGGAATGACACAAAGATGAAAATGATAGGAACACTGTTTACAGGCAGCATGGAACCAGACACGGGAATCTTAAAATAAATCTAAACTAAGTATTTATAAAATGGAGCTAAGAAGCAAAAAGGTATGTTACTTCTCTCTGCCTTGCATCTTCACTATCTATTTACTGAATCTTTCCTAGCATTACATAAATGTCTGCACTGTCATTTCTCTCTCCTTACAAAAAACAAATAAGCCAACTGTCCTTGCAAATATAAAAAAATCAAAGTTAAGGAATACCCTGTAATTCTAATGTTGAGTACCAGTATAAATTCAAGATGTCTTTTTTTCTTTGGACTCCCCGGAGACATGGCTGAATTTATATATGGGGCAGGATTATATAAGATGAGCCTAGAACATCTTGTCAGAACAGAAGCTAAGGAAGCTATCAAAGACAATCGAGGTCATGACAAAAAAGTTCAGAAGCCAGCATGATGGGTTTCTACTGATCAAAGATGGGACAATTTGAGGATATTGGTTTCAATTTGAGGATTTTTAAAAGCATTTTCATATTCAATTGGGAAAAAAACCCGCCTATTTAACGTGCTCTGAAATATAAACTATAAATAATAATGAAATATAGGGGAACCTGGGTGGCTCAGTCATTAAGCGTCTGCCTTCAGCTCAGGTCATGATCCCAGGGTCCTGGGATGGAGCCCCGCATCGGGCTCCCTGCTCCACGGGAAGCCTGCTTCTCCCTCTCGCACTCCCCCTGCTTGTGTTCCCTCTCTCGCTGTGTCTCTCTGTCAAATAAATAAAATCCTTAAAAAAATAATGAAATATAAATACTGTCAATAAAATAATAACAAAAAATATAAAAAACATGAGATCAAAATGATACTAAATTAAAAAAAATTGAACACACTGGAAGATGACTAGGAATTAACTTGTATTCTGAAAACTGGTGAGTAAAGTCAAATTGCCAAGCATTTATTCTAATTTCTCTACATGAACCGTAACTCATAGTTAACAAGTTATTGGTAAGGACAATATTTCTTTTTTTTTTTTAAAGATTTTATTTATTTATTCAACAGAGAGAGTGAGAGAGCACAAGCAGGGAGAGCAGCAGAGGGAGAGGGAGAAGCAGGCTTCCCGCTGAGCAGGGAGCCTGACACGGGGCTCGATCCCAGGACCCTGAGATCATGACCTGAGCCGAAGGCAGACACTTAACCATCTGAGCTACCCAGGTGCCCCGACAATATTTCTTTTTAAAAGATCAACTAACAAATGGAAAAAGAATGATAGACTTTGTTACTCCTAATGGAATAAAGAATATAGAACATGGATAATAAGTGTTTCTAAAACCATCAGGTAAAAAGGTCATAGGGAACATTATAATCTGTGAATCACGTTGACAACACCTATACCATGGATCAGCCTTAACATCACAAAAAGAGATACCATCAGACACTGTGTTTCCTGATGTGAGGAAACAAGAGTGTAGAAATCAGCCAGTGTCCTTGGCCATAGCAAGTGTTTTTTGTTTTTTGTTTTGTTGTTGTTTTGGTGAGCTCTACATCCAATGTGGGGCTTGAACTCACCATCTTGCCCGAGATCAAGAGTCATATGCTCTACCTACTGAGCCAGTCAGGTGCCCCCATGGTTAAGTGTTTTTAAAAATGAAGCTGAATTCTGGGGCGCCTGGGTGGCTCAGTTGGTTAAGCGACTGCCTTCGGCTCAGGTCATGATCCTGGAGTCCCGGGATCGAGTCCCACATCGGGCTCCCTGCTCGGCGGGGAGTCTGCTTCTCCCTCTGACCCTCTTCCCTCTCGTGCTCTCTATCTCTTATTCTCTCTCTCAAGTAAATAAATAAAATCTTAAAAAAAAAATGAAGCTGAATTCGTCTCTACAAGATAATGGTTTCTGCTATATGTAAAAAAGAAAAAAGAAGGAATAATAGGAAAAGCAAGCTTTAAATGAAAAGTGGTATAGGAGACATATCAACTAACTGTAACGTGTGACCTTGTTTGGATACTGATTTAAACATACCAGATGTCAAAAAAGAAAAATCATTTAGGAGACAAATGGAGCAATCTGAGCACTGAGTGGTATTAAGGCACTATCTGATTTATCTGTTTTGGGTATTGTGGTTCTAAACATTCCTTATCTTTTAGTGACACATACTGATGAAGTAATTGATAATATGATGTGACTTCTGCAATTTATTATCAAAAATTTTGAAGCGGTGGGACCTGGATAAGGATATAGATGAAATAAGAATTTTTATGTGTTAAAATGTTTTAGGGGTAGCCTGGGTGGCTGTCAGTTAAGTGTCCACTCTTGGTTTCAGCTCAGGTCTTGATCTCAGGGTCGTGAGTTCAAGCCCCATGTTGGGCTCCACACCGGGTGTGGAGGCTGCTTTTAAAGAAATTAATTAATTAAATAAAATAAATTTTTAAAATTAAAAAATGTTTTAAATTTGGAGCATAAGAAGGAAGTGGGATTCATTATTCACTCACTTTGTACCTTTAAAAATTTTTCCATTTCAGAAAAAAAACCTCTCAGCCCTGTAAACACCACTGCATTCAACTGATCCCCTTTATAGCCAACCACAAGAATTTCTCCATTTCTCTCCCATTTCCCTATCAATCTACTTCATTCATTCTCACTATTGAGTCTGCTCAAGTAGGACCTCTGGTAGCCCACAAAACTCATGGTGAAATTTCAATTTTCATCTCACTTGACACAGAGCAGTAGTTGACATGGTTGATCCCTCCCCTCCTTGAAACACTACATACAGTGTTGGGGTTTCACTCCTACCTCACCAGACCTTCCAAGTCTCTCTTGCTGATTCTTCATCTCTGAAGCCTGTACGGTTTGGGAATTCCTAGGATTTGTCCTTCTAGCTCCTTTAGTGTCTCTGTGATTTCATTCACTCTCAGGCTTTTAAATACCATCTCTATGCAGCTGACTTCCTAAATCATACCTCGAGCCTAACATCATTTATTAACAGTTGTCTGACAGGTGTCTTGAAATTGACATGTCCAAAAGTGAGCTTCTGATCTCCCTCTGTATCTTTACAAATCTATTTTTCTCTCCCCCTTTCTCATAAACTTTGGTGATTTCCCCATCTTTCCAGTTTCTTCAGACCAACATCAGGATAAACACTCACACTTCTTTTTTGGTCCACATTCCATATTTAGGAGAAATCTTGTTGACTCTACTTTGAAAACATCCAGGACCAGATATTTCTCACGTCCTTCTCATTAGTCAATCTGGACCAAGCTCCATCACCTCTCTCCTGAGCTGTTAGGATGGCCTCTATACCATTGCCCTACTTTTCTGTTCTCTGCCTACTATTTTCTAGTTTCAATCCAGTCAGCAGAATGTTAGGTTTCAGTCAGGTTATAATCCTTCTCTATTCTTTTTTAAGGATTTCATTTTTATGTAATCTCTACACCCAACGTGGGGCTCGAACTTAAAACCCAGAGATCAAGAGTCACATGCTCCACCAACTGAACCAACCAGATGCCCCAGCCCTTCTCGATTCTGAAATATCCAGTAAACTTCCTCTCACTCAATAAAGGCCAATGTCTTTATAGCAGTCAACAAAGCCTGGGATGAACAGCTCAGAGACCCCTCTTCCCTCTCCGATCCACCTCCTACTCTTCTCCCCATTTCATGCTCGGCTTCAGCCACACTGGCCTCCTTGCTTGCCTCAAGTATTCTTGCCTCTTGACCTTTACATTTGCCATTTACTCTGCCTGGAATGCTATTTCTCCAAATAAAAATACTCATGATCTCATTGCTTTGGGGCCTTGACTCAAATGCCTCATTCTCAGCAAATCGCTCTCTGGCAACCACATTCAAATGGTTTTCTTGCACAGCACTCCCTCTCCTCTTCCACCACTACATTTCCAACACCCACAACCACACAAAGGGGTGCCGGTAATACCTGTCGACTGCCTTACTTAAAATGATGCTAAACTTGAGTGAGGAAGACTTCAAGGAAGCAATGTCATTTCCCATATGCCAAGAAGGAGTTGGGCTTCGAAACAGATGGGGAACAAACAATAAAAACATGTTTAAAAAAACAAAACACCATAAATAGAAAAAATACCATGAAATACTGACGGGCCACTCTCTTGTTGACTTTGAGTTTTGGCAATTATGGAGAAATTTTGTATTGGAATGTAGTCAGTGTCTTATTTTGAACTCTAAACCAACCTATATTAAAAACAAAGGAGACTTAAGAACAATTATCTAACTGAATTGATATCTGATCAAAAGTTGGGTTCTTTTTTCTTTCTTTCTTTTTTCCCCAGAATGCCTCATTCCTAAGAGAGCCGCAAAGATAAAGGAGAGGGGAAATAAGGTGCAAAGGCCAGTCCCAACCCTTCGGCCAATGGAAGTTGTGCACAGAAAGTCAGCAGTGTCCACAGGCCTCACCTAAAAGCGGTAGCGATGAAGCCTTGCTATTGTTTGTTGTCGAGTTATTCTTGCGCTTGATCCGAGGAATGAATTTCTTCTCCACAGCTCTTATCTTATGTGCAAGAACTTCTGTCATCATTGCTGCCCTCTTCTTTCCGGAACGAGGAACTGGCTGAGTAAAACGCGTTCTTTTTTTACGGCGGGGTGCGAGCACCTCAATGGCCCCAGATTGGATCTTGGCTTCCATTCCTTCACTAGAGCCAAACTCATCTGTGTCTGAGAGTTTGTAGAGCGGTAGCACATGCAGCTGCTCATCCTGAGGGATAACCCCCAAGGAGCGGTTATCTTCTCTTGTTAAAGTACAAACCTGACAGAAAGAAAACATGAAATAGGTCCTGCACATTCATCGCAGTTATTTCTACCTACTCATTGTTGCCACTGTCAAAAGGATTTTTCTGTGTTCCATTGGTTACTGCTGGTATAGTCATTTTGGAAAAATAATACATATCAAGCCACTCAACATGCTTCAATTCTAGTAATTTATCAACTGTTTGTAAGCAGACCAGTATAATTTTGAGTTGATCTTATAAGTCAATAACATTATACTTGTTTATGTATTTTATAGTATTTTTTAAAAGTAAATTCTATCCCCAGTGTGGGGCTCAAACTCAGGACACAGAGATCAAGTCACATGCTGTTCCAACTAGCCAGCCAGGCACCCCAAAACTCCCATATTTTAAATAGTAAGCCTTTTGTTACAGTCCATTTTACTTCATCGCCTAAGTTAGGGAATATCTACTGGATTGTCCACAGCGTTCATATAAAATATTAAGAAGACATTATTTTAGCCTATATATTTCCCTATTTCTTAAATAATGTCACATTCTTTGGGTAGAGGGGGGATTAATTAGGAAGAATTTTCTAATTTGTTCTGTTTTCCTTTAGGATTTCTTCACTTCTGCTTATAAGTGGAATTTATCTATAGATATACAGATTTTTTTTTCCTGCCCCCCCCCAGGGTGATTTTTTTTCTTCGCTAAATGCCCTGAACAGATATTAATGAAGTAAATGAAGCACAAGAGATTTCTCTCTAGCAGGACTTATATTCTAATAGTTTTATTTTTAAATTGATTTTTTATTATTTTTAAAAATTATTTTTAAAAATTCTAACAGTTTTTAAAAATTAAACATTTCATTTTCATAAATTTTCTCTTTCTGCTTGATGTTACTTCTATTCTGGCTAGGAACATACCAATAAGTTACCTACCTTTCTTTTGCATGTGAAGTAAGACATCTGAAGAAAATTCTGTCTTGAATATAACCTATCTCAGTCCTTCTCCTGACTTTAAAAGTTATTTTTATTCATTGTAGAGAAATAAAACTACAGAACTACATACAGGAAATTCCTGACTTTGATACCTAATATTCATATTTTTCTTCATGGATTAGCATCTTAGTGGTAATTTTCAAGGGTCATTAAAGAGCCACCAAAAGTATATCCAATGGTTTCATTATTTTTTTTTAAGATTTTATTTATTTATTTGACAGAGAGAGACAGCTAGAGAAGGAACACAAGCAGGGGGAGAGGGAGAGGGAGAAGCAGGCTTCCTGCCGAGCAGGGAGCCCGATGCGGGTCTTGATCCCGGGACCCTGAGATCATGACCTGAGCTGAAGGCAGACGCTTAACGACTGAGCCACCCAGGCGCCGCGCATGGTTTCATTATTTTTATTAAAAACATCTCTCCAGAGATAAGGGCTCTTTCTAAGACAGTAGGCTGGAGAGAAAGAAAACTGCCTGATTGTAAACTCGATAGACTTGATGATACAGATGGGAAAGTAAGATAAGCTTAAAGTTTTAAAAATCACAGTATTTTCTCAATATTTATAGTCACATTTACCAGCAAGACTTGAAATACTGAGCTCTCTTGGGTGTTATTTGTCAGTAATTTTAAAGTAATCGTGTTAAAAATTAGACTCTTCCACCAATAAATGTTTAATCAATTTCTTTGTTCACAGGGAGATTAAGAAGGGGACAAGGAGTAGATATGAGAAGCATAATTAGAAGGACTGAGGCAGCAGACAGGGTGAAAAGAGAATTGGCAGCTGAATTTGGAGAACTCAGGGTTTCAGAGATGGAGAAATTTGGGAGTTATGTCAAGTTCTGGGTATGAGCCTCATGGCTTGAATAAGAGCAGTGGAGAAGAGGCAGCATTGAATAATACACAGAAGCACGAGAGAAGTGGAACCAAAAATTTAGTTCGATTCTGAACCTAATTCAGCCTGATCACAGATAGTTTGTAATGAAGCAAATCAGGTAAAACATACTAGCCACGCAATGACAATGAACCACACTCCGGCCAAGATTCATTTGGACAGATTTATAATATCATTGATCTCAAAGACTTCACTGATCAACAACAGTGGACAAGGAAGATTAAGAAAAAAGAAAAAAAAGGCTCCTTAATCTATCACTCACAGACTTATTGGCCAAACAAGAAAGGAAGGCTGCCTTTTGATGGATTAGATTGTGTACTTTCAGGAACCTGCAGTTATCTTTCTTATATGGGGCCAAAAAAACAGACTGGTGTAGTGCAAAAACAGAGCGGAATGTTTTACCAGGTGAGAAGACAATTACTGGAAGCAAAACCCATTCCACTTACAAAAGGACCATTGCATGATTCTCTCCACGGTCTTTTACCTAAACATCTCTTGATTGACTTCACGCTATGCGCGTGTAATTCTTTCTATGGCTGTACATCTAAGTGTGCACACCTAAATGCAAATATTTCTGACAATTCTGGAATACTAACATAACTTTATACATATATAGTGGCACAAAAAAGATGATACATTTGGCCTAGTTCCTTCACAAAAACCCTGAGGTACACAGAAGGCAAAAAACAAAAACAAAAAATAGTAAGTTGCTTAACTTCCTACCTACCAGTTTGATGGCATAGAATTGTACTCCTACTTCCTAGCAAATGCACCACTATGATTCAAGACTTTGAACAAAATATTTAAGGCCAGTTCTGTAAGTTTGTGCAAGTATATCAACAATAATTTAAATACCATTGATATTATAAACTATGTGGGACAGAACATAAAATAGGATTTTTAACAATCATCGTATTTCAGGACCTCAGCCTAAGCACACAGCGATGGACCGTTTAGAATCAAAAGCCACCCAGGTACATACCACAGTGCTTCCATTATTCATGTTGTGAATGTCCCTGTGGGGATGGGCACAGAAGTCTAGGCAAGCAGTGACCCCAGAGAACGGACGACCTTCTTTGCTGCCAAGCCGACATTCTCGGGCAACATGTTCATATTCTACCTAAAAAGAGAAATGTATGGCACAAAGTTTTAAGAGCCAGAAAGAATCTCCTTTAGTAAAGAGTAAAAATCACTTCCTGACCAAGTTCTTAAACTAATTATACATTGTAAGTCAGAGATTTCTGACTATAGTGTGGTAAAGTAGCGGATGGGTAGTTCAGTAACATTCAGGAGGCAAAAGTCTAGGAGGATAGCAAGTAAAGTGACAGTGACTGGCTGTGACTGATGGTAGGCTGACAACAATACCCGTTGGAGGTGAATATTGAGCAGACCAAGCCTAAATTATCCCTGGAGAAAGAGAGACTACTACAGTGCATGAAGCACATGTGAAGTTTTCAATGTCTATAAAAAGTAGGTCAACATATATACATATGTTCATGAGCCAATACAGAATTTAGGACTCTTTTTAAAACCAAAGTTTAGCAAAAATAAAGGGGGGGAATCGGAGGGGGAGATGAACCATGAGAGACTATGGACTCTGAGAAACAAACTGAGGGTTCTAGAGGGGAGGGGGTGGGAGGATGGGTTAGCCTGGTGATGGGTATTAAAGAGGGCACATTCTGCATGGAGCACTGGGTGTTATACGCAAACAATGAATCATGGAACACTACATCAGAAACTAATGATGTAATGTATGGTGACTAACATAACATAATACAATGAAAAAAAAAAAACCAACAAAAAACCCCAAAGGTTAGCAATTAACAGAGAGCATGCTATTCATGATAATACAAATGAAGATTGAAGAAATCTAGATCTCTGGTTATGTTTTAAAATAAAAAGATCATTACACACCTATTTTCTATCTTTTTAAAACCAAAGGTTAGCAATTAACAGCATGCTATTCATGACAATACAAATAAAGATTGAAGAAATCTAGATCTCTGGTTGTGTTTAAAATAAAAAGATCATTATACACTTATTTTCTACTTTGTGATGACTGCATACATATACAGTCTTGCACAATGACTGCCACAATTAGGTTAGTTCACACCTCAATTCCTTCACATAGTGAGGATTATTTTGTGTGTGTTGTGGTAACACTTAAGGTCTCTTAAAAATTTTTTGAGTCTATGATAGAGTACTGTTAATTATATTCCCCATGCTGTGCAACAGATGCCCAAATGTTATTTATCTTATGGCTAGGAGCCTGTACCCCCTGACCTTCATCTCCTCATTTCCCACACTCCTTATATATATATTTTTTAAAGATTTATTTATTTTATTTGAGAGAGCGAGAATGAGAGAGAGAGAGAGCACATGAGAGCGGGGAGGGTCAGAGGGAGAAGCAGGCTCCCCTCTGAGCAGGGAGCCCGATGCGGGACTCGATCCCGGGACTCTAGGATCATGACCTGAGCCGAAGGCAGTCGCTTAACCAACTGAGCCACCCAGGGGCCCCCCTCATATATTTTCTTGATGATGTCCTTTGAAGCACAAAATTGCGAAATTTTGACAACCTTTTTTTCCTTATTTTTATTTTTGGATTGTCTATTGCTAGTATGTAGAAAAACAATGACTTTGCATATTGATCTTGTATCCTGAAACCTTGCTAAACTCACTGATTAGCTCAAATAGTGAGTGTGTACGTATGTGTATCCCTCAGTAGTTTCCACACATAGGAACATACAGTTGGCTAGTAGAGATCATTTTATCTCCTTTTTTACTCTGAATTTCTTCAACTTGCTCTTAATAGAAACTCTGGCAAAATGTTTAATAGAAATGGAGAGTAGATATTGTCTTGTTCCTGATAGTAAGCAAAAATGTTTTAGTCTTTATCGTAATTATGATACTATCTATGGGGTTTGGTAGATGTCCTTTATCAGGCTGAAGCAATTCCCTTCTATTGCTATTTTGTTAACTGTTTTTATCATGAAAGTGGTGGATTTTGTCAAATGTCTTCCATCTATGGGGAGATCATGTGTTTTTTGTCATTTGTTCTATTAATGTAGTTAGTATGCTACATTGATTAATTTTCTTGTGTTGAACCAATCGTGCATTCCTGTTTCATAAATTAAAATTTCTAGAATTAATTACAATTCTGTCACTCTGGAGTTTTAATTCAATTGTCATAATAGGAAGTGATAACTTTTTAATTAAAAAAAAATATTTTTAAAGTAATACCTACACCCAACATGGGCCTCAAACTCATGACCCCGAGATCAAGAGTTGCATGCTCTACCGACTGAGCCAGCCAGGCACATCCAGGCTGGATAATTTTTTAAGCTGTTCTATAAAAACAGATAAACACTCAAGTTCAGATCTGAAGGTTTTCTATTAATAATGATGTTGCTTATATAGAAATTTCAACCATGTTTAAGAGCACTGTATATGGTCCCCAAACGTACCTGGTTTTGGTAAGCAACTGGAGCATACTGCTTATAAATTGGAGCTAATCGTGTAGCCAAACTCTGTAAATTATCTTCAAGGTTTTTTTCCTACAGGAAAAGACAGTCCATAAAAGTTGTTTCATAATGACATGAGTTTTAGGTATGAAAACGGATCATAAATCATTGCTGATATGTGGTTGATGCACAACTCATACTTACCCTAATAAAAGAACTACCATAGAAAATCACATGGATTGATTCTTAAAAAATGTGAACTACTGGTCATTATTATGCTTTAATTTAGTCTTTGAAATTCAAGTTCTATGTTATAAGCTAATTAGAAATCTAAATGGTGTTAGAGGTAAAGTGCTCATGTTGATAAATAGAAGAACCCTATTTTATATTTATTCAGTAGTATTGGGCACTTGAAATAAATCAAGACAGGGTTCCTAGTGGCAAGAGGAGATGTTGAAGTAAAGAACTCTGACACAGCGCAACAAGTTTCTATAACGGAAGTGGGAGAACAACAAACATAAGGCGCATACTACATATCAGGTTCTGTGCTAACAGCTTCAATAATAGGTAAGTGGGCAACTGGTTGTCTAAAGCTAGTGTTTTCTTTTTCACATTATAATGGTTACAAATTGTGGAAGACGTGGTGGGACACCATAAAAAGAGTCTAGACTGCTACTGATGGTAGAAACATGTAAGACCTTTTTTTCAAGGAGAACAGTCATGACAAATGTCTCTATTCAAAATATCACTGAAGCTTCAGGTCAGGTTGTGATCTCAAGGTTTTGAGTTTGAGCCCCGAGTTGAGTGGAGATCTCAGAGCTAAGACAGTTTGAGACTATCCTCCACCCTGCTTACGCTCTCTGTCTCTTTCTCTAAAATAAATAAATAAAATCTTTTAAAAAAATCACTGAAGACAGTATAATGTATGCAGCAGAAGGCAGACTTTGGAAACAATTGATGAAAGACAACTGTAATAATTTTGGGGAGAGGACTGTATCCTAAATCAAATCAAAGAACTGATAAATGATCAGTCACATCCAAGGAAGACTATCGAAGGGGAACTGAGAGGAAGGATGAAGGAGAGACTTCGGAAGGCTCCATGCTTCTGCTTCATTTGAGATCTGGTGGATTCCGAGAACACAGAAAGAAGATCTTCATGTGGATTAGTTCACTTCTGATATTCATCAGATTATTAATAAAGCCAAAGCCACACACAGTGTAGACATAGGCAGTTAATTCTTGAGCACATTTAACAAACCCCAATTTGGGCAACTATAAAGCATCAGTGATCACTCTTTTGGTTTCCTAATGATTTAGGTTGATGCTTTCATTGAAAAAGAAATTTATGTATATCAGGTCTATATATAGATTACTGTGTCCCCTTCATCTGTCTTACTTATGTATCTGATACTTTAAAATATAGTTTCATAAATATAGTCAGGAAAGTCAGGACCCTACTTTAAAAACACTTCCTGGCTATACTCACCCATTAATTATTTCATTTATCTGGGGAAAACTTACAATTGTGATTTAAGTACCTACCAAAAAGATTTTGATTGTTTTCTAACACCTAAAATATTTAGGTAGAGTAGACAATTGTGTTGCACTGCTAGGAGGTTACGAATTATCTGGTATCAGAAGTCAAAGACTGAGTAATTGGTCATCATGAAATATCTCATTTACAGTGTAGAGATGTTGAAATAAAGTAGGCACATAGAAAAAAAATCCAATAAAGCTTTATAGCTGACCACAGGTATCATTTTACAATTTTAAGTCTCATTATACATAATGTAAAAATTTTGATTTTCTAATTGTTTCATTAGAATGAATGTCTGTGTCAGATACAGAGGTTTCTTCTTATCAGATCTTTACCTGTTGGGGCTCAAGCCTACATTCCTCTGCTCTTCTCATCCTACACCTGATCTCTAGGACTGTCTTATATCCACGTCTGTGGCTATAATTACTACCTGGACCACAAATCACCCTTGAGTTTCAGATTCTTCTCCATTTTCTTATTTGAGACTTATTTGAGAGAGAGAGAGAGATAGAGAGAGAACGTGAATCGGGGAAGAGGCAGAGGGAGAGAATCTTCTAGGAGACTCCCTACTCAGTGTGGAGTCCCATGTGGGGTTCGATCTCGAGACCTCGGAGATCACGACTTGAGCCAAAACTAAGAGTCTGACACTGTACCCACTAAGCCACCCCGGTGCTTCCAAATTCTTATTATTGACCTGACATTCGCACTTGGATTTTATAGAAATCTCTCACCTAGTGGCTCCAGAATGAATCCATAATCTGCCCTTTTGAAATTGGGTTCTATTTCCATGTACCTTATATCAAGCGATAACACTACGATCTAATAATTAAAACCTTTCCAGACTAACAACTGCCCACCATTTCTTCTGTCACAACCATATTCCAAGTTACAATGATCCCTTCTCTGGACTATTCTTAAGGCTAGCTCATCTTGCTAAACACACTCTTTACCAACTCCAATCCATTATTCAAAGAGCAACTATAGAGATCTCTTTCAAAGAAAAGTGTAATTGTATCACTTTCATTAAATCCTTTAATGATCTTCCAAAATGGCTGACATCGCATACAAGGTCACTGCATTCACCTTACTCTCCCTTGCCTGCTCTGAGCTTCATCCTGGCCTTCTGTCAGTTTCTGTAATGAGAAATGCTTTTTTCTGTATTATAAGCATCATACAGATGTTATTCAATATTTAAAATGATCATAAACAAAAACTGATCTCATACTCATTAATTATATAATATTCTGTTGTAGAATAAAAATTTAACAGTCATGTAAGTATTACTAATATATTTACATACTGGTAGTTTTATCATATAGTATTTGGAAAGAAAACTTAACTGATTAATTTTAAGGGAGAAGGACATCACATTATCATGTGTTCATATGGTTGAACATAGCACCTTTCCACGATCAGGTGTTTTATATGTCCTTTACTAAATTTTTAAGGTTTTCTCCCTAAAGGTTTAACCCACTTCCTTTTTTAAAAAGTGTTAGCTCTATGCCCAGCGTGGGGCTTGAACTCGACCCCGGATCAGGAGTCACACAATCTACTGACTGAGACAGTCAGGCGCCCCTAACAGACTTATTAGATTTCTTCTAAGGTCCTTGATCTGCAAATGATAGTTCTCTCTGGAATCATTTCCTTGTTTAATTGCAGTAGATGGCAACTCAAGAAAATGCTAAATAATTCTGATTATCTCTGTAAAAGGATGATTATTAATTTGGAGTTTCTTGAAAGATGTTATATTCATTGTATTATAGATATAGTTGGATTCATTCCTGTTTTATTTGTGTTTCCTATTTATCTTATATTCTAATGATCTTTAAAAATCTTTTGATTGTTTTCTTTTTAAAGATTTTTTCCCCACAACAATTTCAAAATGTAAAAATTCTATTTCTATTCATCTAAAAAATCTTAAAAATAATCTTGCCAAATATATGTTTTTCTGACAACATCTAGAGCAGTGTTTTCCAAGCTGTGGGTCATGACTCATTCGTGGGCCAAGAAATCAGTTCAGTGTAGGTAATAACTAACTTTTGAAAAAAGAAAATGAGAATTTATAAAAAATATTATAGTGAATCATAGTGATCCTCAGCAATAACTAGATTGGATATTAACTGTTTAATATTTTAATATCTTCTCTTACATAGAAGATGAAGTATTATTTTCTGACGGTTTTATTTTAATTATTTACTTGCACATACCATTGGATAGCAGTTTGTAATATAAAATGTTTTTTATTTGTGGTCACAGCTCAAAGTTTGAAAAACACTGATCTTAGTATCTAAATTCTCCCCACTCCAAACAAAGCATAAAACATTACCACACTTAGTTCCTATAGGTGCCCCCCTCCCCCAGTGCCTACCCACCCTTGAGTTGATAAGAGTATGGAATTATACTTATCGGTTGTTATTTTAATTAAAAAAATGTAAGTACTCAACTTATTTAAACTTAACAGTAAGGTTGACTAATTTCTTTGCTCACCATGGCCTCGTGTCCCGGACAGATTGGTTCCGGTTTCATATATCTTCTTTCTGGATTACGTCCTTTAGTAATTCTTTCATAGTAGTTCTGTGGGTAGTAAACTTTCTGAGTCTTTGAAATGTTGGCAAATGGCTTTATTTATTCTTCCTACTTTGGCTGGGTATAAAATTCTAGGTTCTTTTAACAATGATTGTCTCTGGGGTTAGGGGAGAGGAGGAGGGAACCAGGGACAGTTGGAATTTGGGTTGGTAGTTAAAGACTTTACCTAATTTATAGAGAATTTTAAACTATTTACTTATATATATTCTTAGTTTTTTTTCCACTACTTTAAAAATATTTCATTGTTTTACTATTTAGAAAATATTTTAAGGAATGTATTTATAAATCCATTGTGTAATTGAAAAGTAAAAAGGGACACTTACGTGTAAGGGAGAGCTTGGATCAATTCTAAATCTTCTAGGGCTTGGGCTTCTACCAAATTTACAGCCATTGAAATACATACTCCATGAACAGCCAAAAGAGAACGAAGCTCCACAAGTCTCTGGATCAATTCCTTGACATGTACAGGTACGGCTGTAAGGTGATAATTGCAAGGGAATGAACTGATAAAGCAAGGCCAATACCTCAGACAGAACATTTCAGATTCCTGTAACTTTAGAAGTATAGATGACTAGTGAATTGATTTTAACGTATTTATTTCATTACTTATTTTATCTTAAGTAGCATTAACCCAAAGCTAATGGCCCTTGAATATAAGCAAGTTTTTAACTAAAATGTTTGTTCAAGATTGTAAATCCAAATAAATAGCAATAAACTATACAGAAATACCCATAAACTTGTTTGATTTGGATATGCCTAAGAAAAAATAAAGTCTGCATTTTACTTTATTTTGTTGAGAGAGAATCTTAAATACACTCCATGCTCAGCACAGAGCCTAACCTAGGGCTCAACCTCAAGACCCTGAGAGATCATGATCTGAGCTGAAATGAAGAGTCGGCAGCTTAACTGAATGAGCCACCCAGGTGACCCAAAGGGTCTGCATTTTAAATCTTGGATCTGTTCCCCTATCAGATATGAAAAGGAAAGTATCTCATTACCTCTTTGGACTTTAACTCCGTCATCTATAAACTGATGTTATTTAATCCCGAGGATTGATACTGGATTATATATTGTATGTGAAATCACCTTGTTAATTTTAACAAAAGCCTTTATTAAGAATACAAAAGGAAAAATTGAACTTAAAGCTTGTTTCATTCAGTAACTTGGTATTTTAGTACATTGGGGGCATTTCTGAGACCCTAACATGGACCTGATAGTAAGAATGACAATGACTAAAACATTCATACAAAAATATGAAACCCGAGGAAATAACATACACTCCTGTGGCTTCCAATTGCATAATACTTGGAAACTTCTAATAGTATGTATGTGGTACTTATGTAATGATTAAAAACAAACAAAAAACCCCATAGTTAGAAAATCAGTAAATGAAAAGTATACAGAAATTTTGAGATCAAAACTAGTAGTATTTTTTAATTGTGAAGTCAAGAAAATACCTGATATTAAGATAACACTGACTACAAAAAGAAAAATAAATAGTACATTTATGTCATTGAAATGATACATGTGAAGAAAAGAAAAATGTAGTTTAATTAACATCTGACAGTTAAACAATGAAACACACAGAAACAGTACAGGACTGTGAGACCTAAAAGAGCTTTTGCAGAATATCTGAAATAGTCAACATCACTGGTAATAGGACAAATGAACTGAAACAGGTCCTGATATCATGGACAAAGTGTACTCCCGGGGCGCCTGGGTGGCTCAGTTGTTAAGCGTCTGCCTTCGGCTCAGGTCATGATCCCAGGGTCCTGGGATGGAGCCCCGCATCAGGCTCCCTGCTCTGCGGGAAGACTGCTTCTCCCTCTCCTGCTCCCCCTGCTTGTGTTCCCTCTCTTGCTGTGTCTCTCTCTGTCAAATAAATAAATATAATCTTTAAAAAACAAAAAAAAAGGTGTAGTCCTACCAGTAATTCCTCACTTGATTTTAATTAAAAGAAACAATCAGTTAAACACAAACTGAGCAACAGTCTATAAAATTAGGCCTTCAAAAATGTCAATGCATGTCAATGCCCAGGCGCCTGGGTGGCTCAGTTGGTTAAGCATCTGACTCTTGATTTCTGATCAGTCGGTATCTCAGTGTTGTGAGACAGAACCCTGCAATGGGCTTGGCACTCAGTGGGGAGTTGAGATTCTCTCCCTGTTCCCTCTCCACGCTTGTGCAATCTCTCTGTCTCTCTCAAATAAATTAAAAAAATCTTAAAAAAAAATCAATGCCGTGGAAGACAACGCATGAGATAAGAAACAATCAAGAGACCAAAAAGAGGAGAGAGGGAGACATGAAAAAGGCAAAACAAGTTAACCCATCAAGTCCTGGGTGGGGGAAAATTACTACAAAGTACATTATTATTATTATTTTAAGATTTTATATATATATATATTTTAAGATTTTATTTATTTATTTGAGAGAGAGAGAGAATGAGAGATAGAGAGCATGAGAGGGAAGAGGGTCAGAGGGAGAAGCAGACTCCCCGCTGAGCAGGGAGTCTGATGTGGGACTTGATCCCAGGACTCCGGGATCACGACCTGAGCCGAAGGCAGTTGCTTAACCAACTGAGCCACCCAGGCGCCCAAGATTTTATATATTTATTTGAGAGAGAGAGAGAGAGAGAGAGAGACAAGAGAGACCAGAAACAAGCAGGCAGACGGCAGAGAGAGAGGAGAAGATTCCCCGCGGAGCAGGGAGCTCGATGTGGAACTTGCTCCCAGGACCCTGGGTCATGACCTGAGCCGAAGGCAGATGATTAAGTGACTGGGCCTCCCAGGTGCCCCTATAAAGTACATTCTTGGAAAATATTCAATATCTGAATATGAACTGTAGATTAGATGACAGCATTTTATCGAAGTTAAATTTTCTGATTTTAATAATTTTGCTGGGTTTATGTAAATGAATGTCCTCATGCTTAGAATATACCCTCTTATGTATTATTTACAGGAAAAAGCATAAAGCCTGCAACTAGCTGACAATCCAGAATGAAAAAAATTATTTTTAATCAATAATAATATGTGTGTGTGTATGTGTGACTTTGTATGTAAATGCAAATGTTACAAACTTAATGATGATGAAATCTAGGTGACAGGTATATAAGAGTTCACTGAAGGATTCTTGCATCTATTCTGTAATAATAGAGAATAAGAATATTTATTTATTTATTTATTTATTCTATTTATTTTTTAACTAGGCTCCATATCCAATATGGGGCTTTAACTCACAACCCCGAGATTAAGAGACACTTACTCTACCAACTGAGCAAGCCAGGCACCCCGGTAAGAATCTTAAAAAAAAGATAAGCTGAAGGCATGCCTGACCGGCCCTGTCAGTAAAGCATGAGACTCTTTATTTTGGGGTCATGAGACTGAACCCCACAGTGGGTATAGAGATTACTTAAAAATTAAAAAGGTATGCTAGATCTACACTGAGTGAAATAGAATAAAACTTAGGTTATTGGATTCTTGGGAAGATTAAATGAGGCAATATATGTCTATCCTTCAAAGCAGTGCTTTCATACAAGAGTTACTATGTTTATTGTGAATCTACGTACAAAAGAATTAGCAGACATTAAAAATAGTTTGTATATTACTGGCATTGTAAAGATAAGGTATGCAAATTAATTTTGTGTGGGGATCAGAGAGGGGACAATATATATTGTTTATATTTTATACAATGACATTTCTTTTTTTTTTTAAGGATTGTATTTATTTATTTGACAGAGACACAGAGAGAGAGGGAACACAAGCAGGGGGAGTGGGAGAGGGAGAAGCAGGCTTCCTGCCAAGCAGGGAGCCCGATGCGGGGCTCGATCCCAGGACCCTGGGATCATGACCTGAGCCGAAGGCAGAGGCTTAACGACTGAGCCACCTAAGCGCCCCATTTTTTTCTTTTTTAAAAAAATTTTATTTATTTATTTTTGAGAGAGAGAGAGCACAAGCAGAGGGAGTGATGGGCAGAGGAACAGGAGAAGCAGGCTCCCTGCTGAGTAAGGAACCCCATGTGGGACTCGATCCCAGGACCCTGGGATCATGACCGGAGCCGAAGGCAGACACTTAACCAACTGAGCCACCCAGGCATCCCGACATTTTTTTTTTTTAAAAAGATTTTTATTTACTCACTTTTCTTGCAAAGATTTTATTTATTTACTTATCTATTTATTTATTTTACAGAGAGAGACAGACAGAGAGGAAACGAGCAGAGGAAGGGGTAGAGGAAGAAGGAGAGAATCTCAAGCAGGCCCAAAGTTCTGTGTGGAGCCCAATGCAGGGCTTGATCTCTGAAAGAGTCCAGACGCATAACCTACTGAGCCACCCAGGCACCTGAAAGATTTTTATTTTTTCAGTAATCTCTACACTGACCACGTGGCTCGAACTGAAAACCCGAGATCAAGAGTTGCATGCTGTGAGCCAGCCAGGCGCCACAGTATAATGACACGTCTTTTAAAAAAGAGAGACATATATGAGGAAAACTACACAAAAGAATCCTGAAGACACAAAAGTAAACTTGAACAAATGGAAAGAAAAACCATGTTATGGGATAGGAAGATTCAATATCATTGTAACTTAATTTAATGAAATCTCATTAAAAATGTCATTGGCTCTATCTTAAACTAGACAAATTCATTTTAAAGTTTATTCGGAAGCAAAAACAGAAAAGAATAATAGAAAGCTTTGAAAAAGAGCGAGTAAGGTGAGCTATCCCTACCAAATACTAAAATACATTCTAAAATCTCTATAATTAAAAAAAAATGTGGCACTAGTACCTGAAAAGCCAGGACAATGATATGAACTTCAAATACAAGAGAGGACTCTGTCTCATACGTAATTTTTGTTTACAGTTAAAGTGGCATTTCAAATCAAGGGGAAAGAAATGCTCTCTTACAACTGGTGTTTTCTTAAATGGATCTCCTCCTCCCACTATTAAGTAGCATAAATTTTAAATACATCACAGATTCACATTTTAAAAATTTACAATTTCAACAAGAACTAAAAGAAAATATGGGTGAATCACTGTACAACTTGAGAGAAAAATGTTCTTAAATACCAGTTAAAATTCAGACACTAAAGAAAAAATAGATACGGTTAATTATATTAAAATGGAAAGGGGATGGGGCACCTGGCCAGCTCAGTTGCTGGATAATGTGCCTCTTGATCTTGGGGTTGTAAGTTCGAGCCCCATGGGTGTGGAGATTACTTAGGAAATTAAAAAAAAAAAAGGAAAACGCAAAAGATAACATAGCAGAAGTAAAAAGACAAGTATCAAACTGGCAAAACGGTTTAGACATTATATAACAAAGTGTTAAGCACCCAATACATAAAAGAAGCAATCCTTTAGAAACAAGAGCTGAGGGGCGCCTGGGTGGCTCAGTCACTGAACATCTGCCTTCGGCTCAGGTCATGATCCAGGGTCCTGGGATCGAGCCCTGCATTGGGCTCCTTGCTCAGCTGGGAGCCTGCTTCTCCCTTTCTCACTCCCCCTACTTGTGTTCCCTCTCTTGCTATGTCTCTCTCTGTCAAATAAATAAAATCCTAAAAAAAAAAAAATCAACGTACACCACATTAAAAAAAAAAAAGAAAGAAACAAGGGCTAAAATAATTAACACATAGTTGAGCAATAACTACCCCCACCCAAAAAGGCAAATGACTCTTGACCATATGAAAAAACTCATTCATAACATGAAAAATTCCATTTACCACCTACTAAAAGGGCAAAACCTCAAGTTTGACATCATATTCCTGGCAAAACGGTAGGAAAAGAGGTACTCTCTTACATTGCTGAGAATATAGTACAATTCTCTATGGAGGAGCTTTTCCTTTCTGGAAAAAATCCCTCTCCTCCAGACTCTATGGGTGAGTAGGATCAGGCATCAAAGAGGGAAGCAGAAAAAGAATACTCTCTTAGGGCAACTGGTTGGTTCAGTCAGAGGAGAGCATGCGACTCTTTTTCTCAGGGTTTGATCTGGGGGTGGTGAGCTTGAGCCCAATGCTGGGTGTAGATATTACAAACAAACAAACCAACCCTACAATGGTCTCAACTCGCTATGAAACGAAGTCTCTTTTTTTGGGAAAAAAAAAAGGTTCATTCTTTAGTTTCAGAATACCTAAAATTCTATAATATGCATAACCGGTAGTTAATGAACTATTTAATATTACATGATAGAGATGTGAATGGGAAAGCAGTACAAAACAGATTTGATTACTTTTCATTGAGCGTGCATCTTCGGTCTGTGGGATGACCATTGTATGACTTTAGGTTTTCAGTAAGCTCCGTGTACAATCTGTCAGCCATGGGGAGAGGAATGCCGTCCCATACCATGATAAGCACCACCATCACAGCTGTTGGGCAGTGATGGCCTGTCCGTTGCCGAACCAAACAAAGAACTTTCTCTTCATCGCTGCCTCTTCTTAAAACCTGGAAAAGCATAATGCATTTGTTTATGGAACAGAAGACACCTACAGTTGAGTGCAATGGATATCGTCTTTAAAGCTCTGTGTCCTTGCATTTTAGGTCTTTTTAAACATGACTATTTCTCAAAGGGTTGAAGCCTCTAGGACATTCAGTTTTCTGACTAGCTGCGTCCACACAACTCCTCAGGGTATCCCAGGTTACTTGACTAAACAAACAACAAGGCAGAACAGAAGTCTGTGGTATGTGGTTGTTATTTGTAAAAGTAGACCAAAGCAGTTTGTTTTATTTCACTGTTGATACAGTATTGCAAAATAGACAACACAGGATCTCCTGGAAAGAGCCTAACTGTTCTGTTCTTCCACAAATGACACATCGGGACAAATCTAGCTACATGCAAATAACCAAGGATTCCCAATATCAAAAATGAACTTCAGCACTGAAATTTAGCATTTGCACAAAGTTAGGGATCTTTTCCTTGGGTGAATGGTTTTATTATACAGAATAATTAATATACAAAGTAATGTTGCTGCAATTTCTGTGATTTTTTTCCCCATGCTACCACAAGGATTTATCATACCCATATTATCATAAGATTAAGGTGGTTCAGTTGACATGGTGAATGCAAAATATAACAATTAATTTTGAATAGTGATTGATTTATCTTACACCGCATCATACCCCTGGGGTGCTAAACAGGCCTCAAACGTGTTTAAAATATTGCCCAGTGGTCCCAGTGCTTACAAAAAGAATTACATAAAAATGTTCACAAGACATAAAACCAACCAATTCTGGTTAAAACTCCCTCCATATATCACAAATTTACAGAGCAAAGACACTGACCACATTAATCAGTACATAATCAGTAAATGATAAAGGTGCCCACCCCTGTGACCAAAACGGAGCAACCAACAGCATAATTAAGATTCCATTTTTGTTGCTATAATAATATTACATAAACTTGAGATGAAACTTCTTAAGATGTTAGTTACCCAATATCACTTTCTTCTGTCACTCCAGATGGTTAACAATCATTGCTACCAAGGCATCCCTTGAGTAGAGTTGGCTTTAGGACCTTCCCCCTAAACACAATTATTTATATTAAAATTTTTTTCTATATTTATATGTCCTTTTACAGCCAAATAAGAATACATTTGCTTTCAAATAAGCTCAAAAATGATATACATTGTATCAAACAAAAATTTTCCAGATACTTTTCAAGTTATCAAAGAACAAAGTTACATTGATCCAGTTTTTGTATGGGAAATGCTAAAATGCTATTTATTAGGTATCTGTGCTTTTCCCAGATTTTTTCCAAATATCCTTTAGTGAACACCAGAAAATTAACCATAATGAGTCTCTAAATTCAGATCTAGGTTCAATAAGCACCTTAGGTATTGCCTTGGTATGGATATTTGTGACCACCCAAAATAGATATATTAAATCCTGAATCCCAATTGTGATGGTATTAGGAGGTAGGGCCTTTGGGAGATAATTAAGTCATAAGGGGGAAGCTCTCATCAGTGAGATTAGTGTTCATATCAAATAAGACACCATAGAACTCCCTAATGCCTTTAAACATGTGAAAACACACAAAGAGAAGAGGGCCCTCACCCAACCATGCTGGCACCCTGATCTGAGACTTCCAAACTCCAGAATTGTGAGAAATAAATTTCTGTTGTATAGAAGCCACTCAGTCTGGTATTTTCTCATAGCAGTCTAAATGGAGGAAGACAAGTATTAAACCTGTGTAAGACCTATGAAAACTATAAAAACATTAAAAGAAATTAAAGATGACTTAAATAAATGGAGAGAAGTACCATGTTCATGGAATAGACACTATTATAATGTTGTCAATTTTCCCCAAATGGATTTCTACATTTCACGCAAGTGCAATCAAAATCCTATCAGAGCTTATTTTGTTTTGGGTAGAAGTTGACAAACTTGTGCCAAAGCTTATATGGAAATGAAAGGAAGATGAAAAGCCAAGAAAATGAACAAAGACAAAGTGATTTATGAGATTATCAATATCTATTTTAAAGCTATAGTAATTATAGTTAACTATTGGTGCAAAGACACATAAACAGTTCAACAGAATGAAGAGTGCAGGAGAGGGCGCCTGGGTGGCTCAGTTGGTTAAGCAACTGCCTTCGGCTCAGGTCATGATCCCAGAGTCCTGGGATCGAGTCCCGCACTGGCCTCCCAGCTCAGCGGGAAGCCTGCTTCTCCCTCTAACCCTCTTCCCTCTCGTGCTGTTTCTCTCTCTCTCAAATAAATAAATAAATAAAATCTTTAAAAAAAAAAAGCGCAGGAGATGTGTATGTATATGGCCATCAGACTTCTGACAAAGTTGACACTGCAATAAAAAGTAGTCTTTTCAATAAATGGTACTATGTAATATCCATATGGGAAAAATATGAGCTTGAGTATATTGTTGATCTAAATACGAAAGTTAAAACAGTAAATTTTTGGAAGAAAACATCTTCATGACCTTGAAGCAGGTAAAACAATTTTAGAATAAATTACCAAACTTAATAATTATAAAGAGTTAAGAAGTTGGATTATAGGGGTGATTGGTAGAGCATGTGACTCTTGATCTCGGGTAGGAAGTTCGAGCCTCAAGTTAGTTGAAGAGATTACTTAAAAATAAAATATTAAAAAACCCTGGATTACATTATGATCAAGAACTTCCGTTCATCAAAATCATTAAGTAGCAATAGATTAAGAAGCTATAAAGGCAAATAATACAGTGGGAGAAATATTGGCATATATATAATTGACAAAATATTTTTACCCAAAATATATAAAGAAATTTCTCCAAGTGAGTAATAAAAACACAAAAGAAAATTGGCCAAAAAATCGAATAGGCTCAACACAAGAGAATATCAAACAGATGATGAACATATGAAAATATGCTCCACATTACTAGTCATGTAGCAAAGTAAAAAAATTTTAAAGCACCACATATGTTGGTGCAACTGCTATAGAAAACAGTCTGGAGGTTCTTCAAAAAATTAAAAATATAACTGCCATGTGATCCAACAATTCCACTTCTGAGTATACATCCAAAAGAGTTGAAAGCAAGGCCTAAAACAATTATTTGCGTATGCATGTTCATAGCAGCACTGGATAAACAAAATGTGGCATATATGTATAACAGAGTATTATTCAGACTTAAAAAGGAGGGGCGCCTGGGTGGCTCAGTTGGTTAAGCGACTGCCTTCGGCTCAGGTCATGATCCTGGAGTCCCGGGATCGAGTCCCTCATCAGGCTCCCTGCTCAGCAGGGAGTCTCCTTCTCCCTCTGACCCTCTTCCCTCTCGTGCTCTCTATCTCTCATTCTCTCTCTCTCTCAAATAAATAAATGAAATCTTTAAAAAAAATAAAATTAAAGAAAAAAAAGGAAGTAAATCCTGTTACATCCTACAACATGGGTCAACCTTAAGGAGATAATGTTTAGTGAAGTAAGCCAGTAACAAAAAAAGCAAATCTGTATGATTCTAGTTATATGACTACTCTAACATAGTCAAATTCGTAAAACATAAAAGCGGAATGGTGGTTACCAGTGGCTGTGATTATGGGAAAATGGAGTTATTTAACAGATATAAGGTTTCAGATTTGAAAGATGACGTTCTGGGGTTCTGCTTCACAACAATGTGAACATATATGTAACACTAATGAACTGTACACTTAATATTAAAAAAAGAGGAAAGAGGTCTTAAAAAAAAGAGGCACTACACTACACACCCAGTAGAATGTCTAAAATGACAAAGAAAATGGGGAGCACTGATAAGAATGTGGAGCAACTGGAACACTTGTACGTTACTCATGGGAATGTAATATAAGATAAGCACTTTGGAAAGCTATGGTTTCCTATCAACCAAAGCTATGCACATCTCCTGCCCCCATAATCCAGCAATTTCACTTCTAGGTATATAATCACACAAAAACGCATTCTTCTATTTCCCAAAGACAACACCAATATTCATAATTATCTCAAACTGGAAACAACTCCAGTGTGAATCACCGGAAGAATAAATCAGTAAATTTTAACTATTTATGATAACAGAACACTACTGAACACAATGAGAATGATATTCAACCACAGACAACATAAATTAATCTTACAATTCTAATGCTGGATAAAAGACAAGACAAAAGAATAATTACATTAAGACTGTATTTATATAAAGTTCAAATCAGGCAAGATTAATCCATAATGTTAGAAGACACGAGAGTGGCTACTCTTCCGGGGTAGCAGGAAGGGGGGGCAAGAGGGCTTCTGAACTGCTAGTACTATTAGATGCTGCTCACACAGTGGTGCTCACTTCAGAAAAACTGTGACTTTAGGATTTCTACAGCCTTCTGTATGTATGCTATAATTAATTTTAAAAAGTGTATCTTACCCTAATTAAAAAAAAAAGCCTGAAACCGCTTAGTCAATTTACTATCTCAGGATGTAGCAAGTTTCTTAACCTTTCTATAGTAGCACCACAGAGCTAGGATCTAATAAGTATTAGCCACTGTTTTACGTCTTTTTCTTTAAAACTGCACACATGGCTCCTGAGCACAGAACTCAGCTCCTCAAATATTTGTTGAGTGGATGGTTAAAAACCACAAAAACCTAATGTGGTTGCATTTTATGAAAATTTCCAAAAAGTTTAAGTTACACTATTGATAAGATGAAAATTCTCATTTAAAAAAAAAGACGTTAAGTGATACAAGTGTCCCAAAATTTTAAAACTTTTCTCGAGAATCCATTATTTCATAACTGGAGGGTGTATTAATTTGTAAGCTCTTGAATTTGTGGCCACATGACAGTCACTTTACATGGTAAATGGTGCATACAAACTTCTGTGAGTAATGTCTGTGACTACTTTTCTGTTATTTAAAAATATCTATTTGTATAATTTCCATTATATATTATGAAATTGTTATATCACACAGATTTTTTTTGCTAATTGTGTTAATTAAAAACATACAACAAATTGAATATGTTGGAATGAA